TGAACTGCTGAACTGCAGATAGCAGTCAGCCGAAGTGGCCTGCAGTGCTGCATTTAACCACTGCGCCACCTCGGCTCATAAAGAATCACATAAATAAAATCACAATAACGAATCATGTTGCCCAGGCACACATTCACACTCAATTCATGAAACAGGAATTATTCATACCTTAGAGCTGCAACTGGTGACTATCTCTGCAGCAACCCAGGTACTGACATTATCTGCATATTTTAAAAGCTGCAGGAGGTGATCATCTTGGACACAGTTGTTGGCAAAAAGGTTATAGGTCGGAGTAGATAGCAATTCAGAGGAAGAAGCCCTGTGAAATGAAATAAAAATGTATAACACTTACAGCCTAAGTCTATGCAAAAGCTAACACAACTCACTGCAAGGAAAGCAACGAATCGCATTAATTTCCAACCCCAAGGGATATAAGATCAAAGCTCAAAGACGCCAGTAAGCTAGATCTTCAACAAAAGACATTATTTTCAGAATGTATCTAACTGGCAAGCTAAGCACCAAGTAAATGCCTTGGATAATTTATCCACAATTCTGCAGCCTTTGATTTGCCTTCCTTAATAGTCCAGATGATGCCAGGATTAAAACTAGACTTCTAAATTTTTTTCCTATCTCACCCCACCTTATGCAGATCTGCACCCTGATCCGCAGCCTCAGAGATGTTGCAAAGAACTCACAGGAGCACTGAAATATCCTTTACTGCAATATTTAACATGTGGAACAGTTAGCAAGCTTGTTAGTGAGCCTCAAGGGAGCACGGTCCACAGTTTAGGAATAGCTGGATGCTTCCTTAACTGAGAAAGTTTGGGGGCATCTGCCTTAGAGGTAAACTTGTTCCAATGGTTCACATTAAATGGTCTGCCTTCAATTCTGCCATTTTATAGCCACCTAAGAAAGAAAAGGGATTCTGCAGAAACAATAGAAGGGGCTACTGAATAACAGCTTTAGACTGTAATTAAAGCTAAGCAGAAGCTAAATATTATGGCATCTCAGTAGTTTTCCGCTTCCATCAGCAGGGTTGGCTAAATAGCAAACTTACTTTGGGAGAGGCACGTTCTTATCTTTGACTCCGAGCAATCTTGAATTTAGAAAATGCACCGGGTGGCATTTATGGAATAATTCCTAAACAGATGAAAAAGAAAACGGCCATGGGTTATATATTCCATTTTGCATGCCTCCATTATTGTGTTTTCTAATCCAAACTCACATACTGTAGTCTTGTTAGGAAATGACCCAGAAAGACACCAATTGTACCAATAAATCAAGGAGGTATTTATTTACATTCCATCCCTGTTTCACTCATTAAAAGCCATTCTACAAGACAATCACGGCAATTTTAGCATTAAAAAAAAAACTAATCCAACTGAAATACATTCTTATCAGTTTCATTCTAAAGTGTGAGTCACTGATAGAGGTCAATTTTCTTTCAGCTTTAAAACTACTCTGCAGGTTCAGATCTAATGAATGCATACATGAGAGACCATCAGGAACTAGCAGAGCTTGTAGTTAGATTGGAAAGTAACAAACCAACAAATCTCCAAGAAAACATAGTGAATTTAGTCTACAGAAGCCAGATGGAGATTCTACTTTCAATCGCTGTTCATATCTTTCAAGTCCAATATGAGCTTCTTACAGATATGCCATTCATCTTTGAAGAGATCGGGGAACATTGCCTCTCATAAGGTATTGTAATAATACCATATGAGATCCAGGTAGGGCTGAAAAGTTGCTTGCTATATTCCCCCTAATTAAATAGCAATAGCACTTAGACTTATATACCACTTCACAGTGCTTTACAGCTCTCTCTAAGCAGTTTACAGAGCATATCCCCCCCCCC